AGAATTAATCGGACTCTCTCTCTCTCTTTCTCTCTCTCTCTCTCACACACACACACACATATATATATATATATATATAAAATAAGATAAAATAAAACAAAAAGTGGCATAAGATAAAATGTGCTGCATTCTTATTTATTAATAAATAATATACACACATACGTACACACATACGCAGACACGCACAAACACACACACGCACACACACACACACACACATATATATATATATATATCTTATCTTTATATCCTTTATATTACACACACACACACACACACACACATATATATAAGCAAATATATGGATATAGATCCGACAGTATGAAGAAAATATACAGAAAAACAAATAAAAAATCTTATTATGCAATTATGATTTTTTTTGTTTTTTCTGTATATTTTCTTCATATATATATATATATATATATATATATATATATATATATATATATATCGGATAATGAACAAATAGGAAACGTTTGTGAATTTAACATGTTCAATTTAACAATTTAAATTTCATCAGAAAATGAAATATAGAGGAGAATAAAAATTCCGTTATTTTTTTTTATCTTTGTTTTGATTCTTTTTTAATTTCTTAAGCTGATCTCACGTGTGTCTATCCTGTCATGCAGCGTTCCTGTATATAATTATTGTGTGTAGGTGTATGATGACAATTCTAGTTGGTCTATGTGGAATTCGCTTCATAATGTGTGCGTTCGAGCGTCTAGTTGGCATTTTTATTTTGTGCTTGCGTTCGTATGTTGATAGGGAGATGTTTTAGGTTTTTCTTCTTTTAGACAAACACACACACACACATATATATGTGTGTGTGTCTGTGTGTGTGTGTGTATGTGTATAAGGTGCGATAGATAAATTATCGTCTAAATTACGCAAAAATGAAAATATATATAAGATACATTACACCAAAATTACACAATAATAACTCGAAATTCTAAAGAGTAAATTTATTCTATAAAATCGCCCTTGGCTTCAATCACAGCCTTCTGACGACTTCGGAATCTCCTGCTACTCTTCTGAACGATCTCCTTGTTTAAGTTGATGAATGTTTCCATAATCCTTGTCTTCAGTTCATCTTTGGTGTTACAAGGAGTTTTGTTGGTCTCTTGCTCAACTGTGGCTCACACATAATAATCAAGGGGGTTGCAGCTGAGGAGTTAGGTGGCCAAATGTAAGGGGTGATGTTGCTGCAGAAATTGTCTGACAGACATGACGGTTCTCCCGCTTGTGTGGAATGATGCAGAGTCCTGTTACCTGACACAGGGTCTTCCATCAGCCACCCTCTCAACCCAGGGCAACATTACCTCCTCAAGGAACTTGATGTAGGCTTCCGCGGGAAGACGAATGGAGGCGTAACGTCGCCATCATTCCAAAACACCTTTGTAATCACCATTAAACTCATCCAAATCTTTCCGAATTCTCTGCACTGTCCTCAGATTGCCACCCAAAGAAACTGAAAAGTTCGTATAGGAGCGAATATTGGAGCGAATTTCAGCAGTACAGCATGCCGTTTTCAAATTTCTGGTGGAGTGAATTGCGTCATGGTGATCTCTTTCTCATAGACGGTGCCCGACTGATTACATTGTGCAGTCTACCAAAAAAAAAAAAAAAAAACCGCATGTGAAAACTCTAAAATCTAATATGGCGACAATATACCTATTGCATCCTCAGTGCATATATGCCGGGTGTAACGGCCAAATTTTCAAATTGTATAATAGCAAATTGTATAATAGCATAATTGTCCAATTGTTAGATTAAAATTTTGAACCATTGTATCTTAGAAACGATTAAAGATATCTCACTGGAATTCTATAATTTTTATAACACTATTAGACTCTACTTTGAACAATAAGAATGTATTTGAAATGAGGATCCTTCTCCCTGTTGTGACCACCTGATCCAGTTTTCCTATATACTGTTCCTTCTTTTTTAAACTTATTAACCGTTCTCTTGATGGTTCGTGAATGGATTTGAAGATGGAAGACAGAGTATGAATGTTGATATAATTACTGAAGGCCTGAATGATCTTTTTCCTCTTACCATTGCTCAGTTGGGAAGACATACTGGGTCTGCCTACAAAACGGTTTTAACTTGTCCTCTTTCTAGCTGAACAACTGAAAGTGTTTTTCACTGATTCGAACGTTTTTAGTCAGAATTGATGGCAAGATGGCTAAACGTCTTATCTCAAAACCAAGAAAAATGAAACTCAATTAGTTTAGTGCTTTTTTTAGATACAGTGTAACCCAGATATAAGAGACCCGGATATAAGAGAAACCCGGATATAAGAGAAACCCGGATATAAGAGAGATTTTCTATAGTCCCAAATTAGAGCCTGTGTTAATGTATATAAAATAGACCAAACCCGGATATAAGAGAAACCCGGATATAAGAGACTTCTCCGGTCCTGACAACTCTCTTATATCCGGGTTACATTGTATTAAACATTTCGTGGGATGCTCAATTAGCGCATGCTGTTACACGACTTGGACATTTTTGCTGTTACACCGGGTATATACATACATACATACATACATACATACATACATATACATACATACATATATATATATATATATATATATATATATATATATATATATATAGGCATGCAGATAATTAGTAGGTGGTCGTCAGAATCTCATACGTCAAACTCGATGGAGTTCATCATATATATATATATATATATATATATATATATATATATATATATATTATATGCAGTTGCATTAGAACATGTAAATATCATGTAACAGTGCATAATAAATATTTATTGCTTTACTTTTTATTGAGCCCTGTTTTAAATTAATGTTCTGAATGTTGAAACTTTATTCTTCGTTATATATATATATATATATATATATATATATATATATATATATATATATATATATATATATATATATAATGCATTATATATATGATTCATTACTCTTCAAGTACGCATTGAGTTCGTTTAGCTACTGGCGTATTTCGTACAGAAAAAACGCTAAACTGAAGCCAAATCAGTCGAGTTTCGATCTGTGGATGACTTTACATATATATATATATATATATATATATATATATCTGAAGGGAGAAGAAGAGGATTCACACCTTTCCCAAGGGTATTAGCACGCAAGTGAATGCAATGGATTCGACTGGAATTCGAACTCGGCTCTCCGATTCCTTAAACCAAGCCGATATCCATTACTTCACCGTGCCTCCTAAATAGCAGGACAGACTGGGTTTTATAGCCTTGGATGGCAATTGGTCTAGGAGAAGAACAACTCTGAATTCAAAACATGCAGAGGGTCGTTTGGGGACCTTGTGGCACTTAGTGCACCAGGTCTCTGTAATCGGCCCTTCAAAAAGTGTGGATGGTCCTGCACGAAACCTTCACCACTATAATCAAATCTCATGTGCTGTTGTCAGGCTGTCGGTTTCCTGGGAACTGATCTGCTTGACCCTCGTACGTCGAATAAATCGACGGGAGAGTCGAGTATATATATATATATAGAGAGAGAGAGAGAGAATCAAACATATATTGTTAGATATAACAGAAAACGAATGTCTATTATGTTTGAGCTTCGTATAGTTGCTTTAATTTTAATTTTGTACGAAGCTTGTTTGATTTTTTGTAATCTGCATGCTGGTCTGTTCGTTTTGTTAGCAAACATGTGTTTTTGTTTTCTTACAGTTGATGTTTAATCCCTTCTTGCTTTCCTTTACGACTTTCTGTAGCTTCTTTTGTAGCTTTTTTTTTTTATCTGTATCTGCTATCAACACTGTGTCATCTGCATATCTTATGTTGTTAAGATTGTGGCCGCCAATAATGAATCCTAGTCAAACTTTTAATTTTCTCAGAATCACCTCACTGTGTAGTTTGAAAAAAGTCCCTTGAGAAGCCATATTGTCTTACACTCCTTTCTATTCATGACATATTACTGTCTGTATATGTTCTAGATTATTCTAATATCCTTCCAAATATGTCAAAATTACCTAGAAGTTCCAACATTTTTTAGATATTATTGAATCTAAAAAAAAGTTTTAATCATTTCATCTCAAACAAGGCAGGAATGCTACTAGTACACAGGGCGTTACAGGGAGTGAAAGTGAGAGAAAAGACTGAGAATAGGGAGGATTGAGGAGAGGACAAAAATGAAAGGCGTTCAAGAAGACAGAAGATGGCGATTGACGTTACATTTTAATTTTTGAATATTGTACGGAAGCGAGACAACGCAAGGGAGTTCCACTGTTGGGAAGTACGAGAAAGGAAACTGTTGGAGTAGAAGTGGCTGTTGTATTTAGTTATTTCAACAGTAAACGGGTGGGACCTAATTGCCAATCTAGTATCACACTTAAAATTCATGTAGCTGGGATACCAGGGAAAAATCTCATATAACTTAGAAGGATCTAAAATGCGATGCACAGTTTTCCATCTTCTTTGGGAGCAAAATCTAATTAAAGTGTCCCCTAATAATCTAATTGAATTGTCTCCAATAATCTAATTGGTGTCCCCTAATAATCTAATACAATTGTCACCTAATAATCTAATTAAAGTGTCCCCTAATACTCTAATACAATTGTCCCCTAGTATCTGTCTATATTTCTGAGATGAGGTATTATGTACACTATTTACATTATTCGAACTATTGTCCTCATCTTTGTCGCCATATCTATTACAACGTTTCGGCCGTTGTACCAACCGGCCTTCTTCAGGTGGTTGGAATGTCGAACTGAACCCTTTATTTCGTTCACTGGTGTAGACTGTTCTAGTTTCACGTGCCATGTTTAATGGATGTCAGTTATCAGTTATCTCCTATTAATTCTCCTCTCCACTGACTTAACCGGGTATTGAACTTACACTCTTTGGGTTCTGTCACTGGATCTAACTAACGCCTTTATCCACTGTGCCATGTGTCCATGGCACGTGGAACTAGAACAGTGAGCGAAATAAAGGGTATACCAGGTAATGTAAGCATCAATGTGCGAATAGTATAATGGGCTTACGGCCATATCACGTTGAAACACCAGTTTCGGTACGATCACCGAAGTTAAGCAACGTCAGATTTGGTCAGTACCTAGATGGGTGACCGCTTGGGAATACCAGGTACTGTAAGCTTGGATGTGCGGATGGTATAATGGTCTTACGGACATATCACGTTGGAACATTAATTTCCGTACGATCACCGAAGTTAAGCAATGTCAGATTTGGTCAGTACCTAAATGGGTAACCGCTTGGGAATATCAGGTACTGTAAGCTTGTAGTATATCTGGAAAAAAAGGAAGTTGACGCCTGCGATCTCGAATGTTTACTGGACGATAATAGTCGAAAAGAATTGCTTGTAACTTGAAAGTGTATTATCGAGAAATTCCTCTTGTTCTAGAATAAGTCCGATATGAAGTTTAGTAATGTAAACAAAGACAGCCAAGAAAATAAAGGACAAACGCTTGATGTCAATAGAAATAAGAAAGAGAAAATTTATTTACAATATAAACAACTGTCAGATGTAGACATTAATGAACGATACTTGAATTGCGGTAATAGTTGGTTTAAGTGCTATGGGATTATTCCCAGCCATTTAGCATGAAACATGTGAATAAAACAAATTTTTGTACTTACTAGTGGAATGAAAGAATATCTCAACGAGAGCTGTTTTTTAATGTTTCATGCGACCACTAAGGGGGCTTAATAACGGTTTTTAAAATATGTAAAAATGAATTATTTTGGTTTACACGAGAAGTTTCCTTGAAAGGTGAAGAAACCGCTTTCTTCGCAAAACATCTAAGTTGTTGAAGCAGGGTTTCAGCGTGAATATATCTTTCGTTCAATTGTATAGTTGTCAGTCGTCATGGAGACGTTGATGACCCCCTGCTGCTGTTGCCGACGGACTTTCTTGTGTTGAGGGAGGAAAGGATGATGATGTTACTCTCCATCCTGGCTAAACGCGCAGACCAAAGGCCCCCAACCGAAAAAAAAAAAAAGGTGCTAACTCTCTTTTATGAGCATCTCCAAGGCTTGACTAAATTTAAACGAGTCAATTTCCATACGAACGCAAAAACCTTATATGGGCAAAATAAACTGATCAGTTACCCTTTCTTTTCTTTTCCCGCTAGTATATAAAAACCATTACTAAAGCAGACGATAAAATACGTTTGCGATAAAAAAAATCCAAAAAAATCATTAAAATAGCAGACGACAACACGTCTGCTGATAGTTTTTGACACTTGGATACGATTATTTTAATTTTAAAATAAAATATAGTGTATCTACAAAATAAGTGTACATACGAAAAATTAACAAAACCTGTTCTTCATTATTTTAATTGCCAACATGTGTGGGTGGTTTAATGCATAATGGCTCGGAATTGTTAATTTTGTCAGGGAAATAAAATTTCTTGTTCCGTTCTCATTTGTTCCCTTACATTTCAAGTGGAATTCGTACACACGATCCATCGCTAAAGATGCTGGAAAAATGATCGGCTCCCTGTACCGCTCTAGTAAATACCTGACTCCTCCTAATATTCTCGGTTTTTATAAGAGTCAGATCAGACTTAAAATGGAGTAATGGAGCTGCCTAGCCTTTAATTTCTAGTCTCGATGGAGTCCAATAGCGTCTCCGTTTTCTTGTGGGTGATTAATTATTTTCCACTCAACAACCCCTTTCCCACAGACGAAACGGCTCAAGGCTCTGGCTGCTCTATCCCTAACCCTTACCCTGCCTCTGGCTGCTCTATCACTAACCCTAACCCTGCCTCTGGCTGCTCTATCACTAACCTTAACCCTGCCTCTGGCTGCTCTATCAATAACCCTTACCCTGCCTCTGGCTGCTCTATCACTAACCTTAACCCTGCCTCTGGCTGCTCTATCACTAACCCTAACCCTGCCTTTGGCTGCTCTATCACTAAACCTAACCCTGCCTCTGGCTGCTCTATCACTAACCCTAACCCTGCCTCTGGCTGCTCTATCACTAACCCTTACCCTGCCTCTGGCTGCTCTATCACTAACCCTAACTCTGCCTCTGGCTGCTCTATCACTAACCCTAACCCTGCCTCTGGCTGCTCTATCACTAACCCTAATCCTGCCTCTGGCTGCTCTATCACTAAACCTAACCCTGCCTCTGGCTGCTCTATCACTAACCCTAACCCTGCCTCTGGCTGCTCTATCACTAACCCTAACTCTGCCTCTGGCTGCTCTATCACTAAACCTAACCCTGCCTCTGGCTGCTCTATCACTAACCCCTAACCCCTGCCTCTGGCTGTTCTATCACTAAAACCTAACCCTGCCTCTGGCTGCCTATCACTAACCTTAACCCTGCCTCTGGCTGCTCTATCACTAACCCTAACTCTGCCTCTGGCTGCTCTATCACTAACCCTAACCCTGCCTCTGGATGCTCTATCACTAACCCTAATCCTGCCTCTGGCTGCTCTATCACTAAACCTAACCCTGCCTTTGGCTGCTCTATCACTAACCCTAACCCTGCCTCTGGTTGCTCTATCACTAACCTTAATCCTGCCTCTGGCTGCTCTATCACTAACCCTAATCCTGCCTCTGGCTGCTCTATCACTAACCCTTAACCTGCCTCTGGCTGCTCTATCACTAACCCTAACCCTGCCTCTGGCTGCTCTATCACTAACCCTAATCCTGCATCTGGCTGCTCTATCACTAACCCCTAACCTGCCTCTGGCTGCTCTATCACTAACCCCTAACCCTGCCTCTGGCTGCTTCATCACTAACCCTAATCCTGCCTCTGGCTGCTCTATCACTAAACCCAACCCTGCCTCTGGCTGCTCTATCACTAACCCCTAACCCTGCCTCTGGCTGCTTTTATCACTAACCCTAACTCTGCCCTCTGGCTGCTCTATCACTAACCCTAACCCCTCTGGCTGCGTTTCTATCACCAACCCTAATCCTACCTCTGGCTGCTCTATCACTAAACCTAACTCCTGCCTCTGGCTGCTCTATCACTAACCCTTAACCCTGCCTCTGGCTGCTCTATCACTAACCCTAACCTGCCTCATGGCTACCTATCACTAAACCCAAACCCCGCCTCTGGCTGCGTTTCTATCACTAACCCTAACCCCTGCCTCTGGCTGCTCTATCACTAAACCCAACCCCTGCCTCTGGCTGCTCTATCACTAACCTTAACCCTGCCTCTGGCTGCTCTATCACTCAACCCCAACTCTGCCTCTGGCTGCTCTATCACTAACCCTAACCCTGCCTCTGGATGCTCTATCACTAACCCTAATCCTGCCTCTGGCTGCCTCTATCACTAAACCTAACCCCTGTTTTTGCTGTCTATCATCACTAACCCTAACCCCTGCCTCTGGCTGCTCTATCACTAACCTTAATCCTGCCTCTGGCTGCTCTATCACTAACCCCAATCCTGCCTCTGGCTGCTCTATCACTAACCCTTAACCTGCCTCTGGCTGCTCTATCACTAACCCTAACCCCTGCCTCTGGCTGCTCTATCACTCAACCCTAATCCTGCATCTGGCTGTTTCATCACTAACCCTAACTCTGCCTCTGGCTGCTCTATCACTAACCCTAACCCCTGCCTCTGGCTGCTCTATCACTAACCCTAATCCTGCCTCTGGCCGTTTCTATCACTAAACCCAACCCCGGCCTCTGGCTGCTCATCACTAACCCTAACCCTGCCTCTGGCTGCTCTATCACTAACCCTAACCCTGCCTCTGGCTGTTTCATCACCAACCCTAACCCCTGCCTCTGGCTGCTCTATCACTAACCCTAATCCTGCCTCTGGCTGCTCTATCACTATCAAACCCTAAACCCTGCCTCTGGCTGCTCTATCCCTAAACCTCTAACCCCTGCCTCTGCTCTGGCTGCTCTATCACTAACCCTAACCCTGCCTCTGGCTGCTCTATCACTAACCCTAACCCTGCCTCTGGCTGCTCTATCACTAACCCTAACCCTGCCTCTGGCTGCTCTATCACTAACCCTAACCCTGCCTCTGGCTGCTCTATCACTAACCCTAACCCTGCCTCTGGCTGCTCTATCACTAACCCTAACCCTGCCTCTGGATGCTTTCTATCACTAACCCTAATCCTGCCTCTGGCTGCTCATCACTAAACCTAACCCTGCCTCTGGATGCTCTATATCACTAACCCTAACCCTGCCTCTGGCTGGATCACTAACCCTAACCTGCCTCTGGCTGCTCTATCACTAACCCTAACTCTGCCTCTGGCCGCTCTATCACTAACCCTAATCCTGCCTCTGGCTGCTCTATCACTAACCCTAACTCTGCCTCTGGCTGCCTATCACTAAACCCTAACTCCTGCTCTGGCTGCTCTATCACTAAACCCAACTCTGCCTCTGGATGCTCTATCACTAACCCTAACCCTGCCTCTGGCTGCTCTATCACTAACCCTAACTCTGCCTCTGGCTGCTCTATCACTAACCCTAACTCTGCCTCTGGCTGCTCTATCACTAACCCTAATCCTGCCTCTGGCTGCTCTATCACTAACCCTAACCCTGCCTTTGGCTGCTCTATCACTAACCCTAACCCTGCCTTTGGCTGCTCTATCACTAACCCTAACTCTGCCTCTCGCTACTCTATCGCTATTTCTATGAAAAGTATTCAGACGAACTACATTCCTTAGTTCCACCATTTCTACCCTTCACGGCTAAGACCCGCCATGATATGCAGATTGCAGCGAACCAACGTCTTCGTATTCCATTTGTAAGATGTACGTTCCACTCGTGCAGCGTCTGTCCACGAAACGCTGGTTTAAAAGGATGATGATGAAGGTAAGGATATAACCATAGGAGGACTTAGCGAATAACCAACTGACTAGAAACGACTTCTTAAATATAAAACCATAGACGTACAAATCGGCGCACCTCGACATGATGTAATGGACAGACGGCTTGTCTCGTTAGAACAATTGCGACTGGATAATGAGTTCGTTCCTCACTCCGTGCCCCCATATTTTAGGCCTTGTGCCGCATCTTTGCTTAGAAAATAACCATAGATGTACAAATGGTGTATTTATTTATTAATTGTTTTACTTTTGTACGTCCAATACAAGGCTCGAGGGCCACTCAAGATAAAGTCAGATTATTGCAAGAGAGGGACAAGGGAGAAACGGGAAGTGCATAT